TACTCTTGACAAAGACATGCCTATAAAGTCACTCTATATGCATATTCACAAAATATGCATCTCTCTCTATTCTAAATTAAGTTTGGCCTGGCCCGGAAGCCTCTAGAAATGAAATGTCACTGTTCTGATTAGTATGGTATTTTGTGTGAGTGGGAGAATATTTTTGCTCATATCCCTGAATTTCAAACCATAGTTAGGACCTTGCAACATATAATTTGAGAGATGAAAGCACTCGAATAATTTTCCTCTCCTGCGCTGCCATCCTGATCACATGTGCCAGAAGCTATAAATACTCAACCTCACAGTATTCTGTCTGCATTTGTCAACAGCATTTTATAGGAGTACTTTCTGTCAATTCTGTCATCATTTACTCACCCTCATGTCGTTCACAAACCTTATGACTTTCTTTCTTTCTTTTATGGAACAGAAAACGAGCTGTTTTAAAGAACATTAATACTGTTTTTTTCCCGTATAATGCAAGCTGTCAAACTATAAAAATCACAAAAAACACCATAAAACTACACCGTATTTAAAGTCTTCTGAAGCTCAAGTTTTTTTGTGGGTAAATTGTGTTCACAATTGTAGTTTGGTTTTCTTGGTTCTTTCGGTCTGGACAAAAAAAAAAAAAAAATGTACATTAGCGTTTACACACACTGCGTCCGAAATCGAATACTTCTCTACTGTATAGTATGCAAAGAACAGTAGGCCAACTGAGCGAATACATAGTATTTAAAAAACGGTAAGGGAAAAGTCCCCGGATGACCTACTACTTCCGGCGAGATTCCGAAGTGTGCATACTATAGACACTTTACTATCCAATGAGGCCACGGGAGAGGAGTTGTGAATGGCAGTGAAGCGACGCAACTGACACCGGTAAGGTCACATGACAATGACAACATGGCGAATGTAGTACGTCCAGATTACATTCATACTTCACACATTCATATTATAAAGAACGTACTTTTTAACGGTCGCAAAGTACGTTCAAATTGAAATGTAGTGCATACTCAGACTGTACGTGATTTCGGACGCACCTACTGTCATTTTTAACACTAAACCTAAAAAGATTTTATGACGTACTGTATATTTTTTTAACGGAGCTTACAACATCTAAGCCAATGCTGTGTGCTACGTGTGATGGTTTTGTACAAGCTAAGAACTCGCAAAGAGCTTATAAAATGTGTAAAGGAGTCAAAACAGTGTCAGAAATCCCTCCGCCACACATAAAACAAAGATCTGCTGTAAGAGACGGCGGTTCTGATGTCTGTACCGAACTGTGATGGGCGACATCTCGACTATGACGAGAAAAAACAAGCATTCTTGAGCATTCTGTCCTGCTTAGGGTCGCATCTTGAGACATCATGTCCTGTTTTTGGTTTGTTTACATGTCTTTGGTCCGTGTTGCGTTCATATTTATCGAGTTTGTTTGGTAGCGGACTGAGACCCATCTTTTCAGCGGTCTCGCTCCGCTTGTTTGATGCACACGTTTGTTTGTATGCCATACTTGGGTTTGTATGGCAGCGTTCACACTTATTCAAATGAACCGCACTAACAGAATAATCGCACCAGGGTTCGTTTTAATCGAACCAAACATGCCAAGTGTGAACACAGCCCAAGTCATTGTAGTGCTTTAAGGCCTGTTCACACCGGGACGAATTTCGCGCGCGATATTCGCAGACGTTTAACGCCTCGTGACTAAACAAAGGGCGCCAATGTGAGTGTGCACATCGACACGAAAAACGGCATGCGTAAAAGCGAAAACGCCTTGGGTTTGTTTTTCTAGTTTGAAGCGCCGCGTCAAAAACTTTCCGACCAATGAGATTGGCGCTTTTACTCACGTGTCTGGAGCTTCTGAAGTTACAGTAAAACACAACTTGGGGGGCGCTCAAACACAAAACGGTCTTGCCGAGCACACATACGTAACGGCGAAGAAGATATACGCCAAGTAGCGTCTACTCTACACTGCCGGGAAGAAATAAGACGAGGAAGATGCAAGGCAAGATTAATGTAGAGCTGCTGGTCTCGTTGGTGTCGGAACATAAAGAACTATATGACAAACGCGACAGCGACTACCAAAATCTTGATAAAAGAGAATGTTATGGAGTGGTATTGCAGAGCAAATGGGCGCCATCTAATGTCAGGGAATGAATTTGCATGTTCACTCGGCTCATCGTCAGCGAAAATCGCTTGGGTGTGAACACAAAAAACGCGTTGAAAAACGCTGACGAATAACGCGCGCCGATATTCGTCCCGGTGTGTACGGGGCTTAAAATCTAAATCTAAAGGCTCGTACACACCGGGACGAATATCGGCGCGCGTTACTCGGCAGCGTTTTTCAACGCGTTTTTTGTGTTCACACCCAAGCGATTTTCGCTGACGATGAGCCGAGTGAACATGCAAATTCATTCCCTGACATTAGATGGCGCTTAATGTAAAACAGAAATAGTCCTATGTTGTAGTCGCTGTCACGTTTGTCATATAGTTCTTTATGTTCCGACACTGAGACCAGCAGCTCTACATTCATCTTGCCTCGCATCTTCCTCGTCTTATTTCTTCCTGGCAGGAGACGCTACTTGGCGTATATCTTCTTCGCCGTTGCGTATGTGTGCTCGGCAAGACCGTTTTGTTTTTGAGCGCCCTCAAGTTGTGTTTTACTGTAACTTCAGAAGCTCCAGACACGTGAGCAAAAGCACCAATCTCATTGGTCGGATAGTTTTTGACGCGACGCGTCAAACCCAAAAAACGAACCCGAGGCGTTTTTACAAAAATGACGCTTTTACGCGTGGCGTTTTTCGCATCGGTGTGCACACTCGCATAGGCCCCCTTTGTTTAGTCACGAGACGTTAAACGTCGGCGAATATCGCGCGCGAAATTCGTCCCGTTGTGAACAGGCCTTACCGACGCACTGTGAGGATCAGAGAGCTTAGCTTACTCATCGAAAATGTTTTTAAAACATTTAGGTGTATTTTACAATGAATTATAGGCCTATAATTTAAATGATTTACAGTCTATAATGTATCCGAACACTGCAATGATCAGTCATCAAATGAAAATATCTCATATCTATTTCTGAAGTTTGTGTCAATGATGTCCAACTTTCATATTAACCTTTTCATTTTGGGGTTATCTATCAATTAAACATTGTAATTTGATATAACATGTAGTGGAATAAGGAAGACGCAATGCACACTTCCTCTTAAACCTTGTTTAACCCAGAAAACATGTTTTAATTAATCAGTGCTTGCGTAATTAATGGCTCTTTAATGCCTATTGGGTACATTTCCAAAGCTGCTGTCATTTTCTTTCCCTCTTTTAATCGGTTCTGAGGTGGTTTTCTGACCGCTGGAGTGTTGTGTGTGTGTTAATGTCTAGTTGATGTGATTAATGAGTGTGGAAAATGCAGGGCACGTGGTGTCATAACAACAAAAATAAAACAAATCTCCATATGCCTTATGAAACTGAGGGACAGAGGCAAACTGTACTCATACTTGAATGTTTATAAAGAGAAGCCGAAGACAGGAAAAGGGCAAGAACGAGGAAGAGCAGGGAATACTAAACAGAGATTCCTTTTTAAGCTGGATTCCATTTAAATTGAAATAGAAGGAACCAAAAAAAGGGAAAATAAGATCTTGTAAGATGTGGTAGCATAAGGAAGTAATTCAAAGAGATAAAATGGATTAGTCACTGCTTTATAAAAGAAATTGTGTCTTTTCTAGTTCCACTTTTTGATGAAATGCTCTTGCAGGTGTTTTTATATTCTTAAATTAAAATTCAGCTCTGTCTTGGTTTCTGCATCACTAACACGAGAGAGCATCTGCTTTTAGTTATTTTTGTGCATTAGGAGATATTGACAATCTAAGTTTTCTTTCTTTCACATTAAAGGTCAAGAAAAAGTCAATGAATTGTGACTGCTGCAAAGAGTTTGCATTCCTTTTAGTGCTATTTTATGTGGGGCTCTAAAGTAACTTCTACACATGACAGTTAATTTTGTTCATTGATAATCATTTTTTAAATCACAATTATGCAATTATTTTTTGTGTCAATGTAAAAACTATACACACTTTAATTATAAATATTATGAAATAAAAAATAGTACATTTTAATTTGAATAAATTCATTTAATATTTTTATTTAAGGAATAAAATAACTAAATGTATTAATAATTGTTATGCATTTTTAATCACTTATCACAGCTGTTTTCAGTGTTTTTAATGTAAAAACTATACACACTTTAATTATAAATATTATAAATAAAAAATAGTATATATTCATTTTAATAAATTAATTTAATATTTTCATTTTAATTGAAAAAATGTAATAAATTTAATAATTGTTATACATTTTAATCACTATTATCACAGGCATTTTCAGTGTTATTAAAGTAAAAAGTATACGCTTTAATTATAAATATAATAAATAAATATATTGTTTTGATATTAATTCACTTTATTTTAAGATTTTTTTTATTATTAATTTCTATTTTTTTAATATAAAATAAATAATTTTGTATCACACGAAAGCACAAAGTTCATGGACGTTTTTGCCACTGACGTAGGTTCAGATGAAGGTGTTGTCTTGATCCATCATGCTTCTTCATCTCCAGCCATATCCCTGCTCATAGTCTGGGTTATTTATAGTCATGAATGAAGCGCCGTCGAGACATTAATGACAAAATCCTGCACTGAAAAAGACTCTTGAGATTTTTCAGTCCTTGTGAATATGAACTTTCAGTTCTTTCTCCCATCGAGCTGCTCTGCTGTGACTGTGAACTACAAATGAAGCATTGAAATTCCACTTTGGGGAAGCTACTATGATTTGTGCGATCGTTCTATGCAGTAGTTTTATAAATAGCATTGCCTGCTCACTATTTTTAAGTCCCAGTGGTGCTTTTCCCTCTAAACTGGTGCATGCTGTCACTTCACATTGCAGATCACTGCATTCATACTGCATCTCTCTTGTTCTCTATGCAGTCTAAAACTTTGCTTCATGTTTCATCACAGGTTGAATTAAGGCTGGACAGTGGTGATGTCACTGCAAAGTAAGTTTAATTATTTAAGAATTACTATGTTTTATTTTATTTTTTTATATTATTTTATTATTTTTTATTATTATTATTATTTATTTATTTTATATATAATTTTATCTTATTTCTTTATTTAAATTTTTTTTTTGTATTATATAGTATTATATTATATTATATTATATTATATACTTTTTTAAATTATTTTATTTTATTTATTATTTTATTTTATTTTATTTATTTTAATGTTTTCTTAAACTGACCTTTTTTTGGTTATACAGGACATGCAGAGTTAAAGTGCCATGTAGATACAATATGCTCCAAAAGTTTAAGACCACCTGTTAAAATGGATGAATTATATTAGCAGTATAATTTTACATAAATCTCAATGTCATATTACAATTCTTTAATGACAGCAACACTTGAGCTGTTTTTCTGGTGATCAAGTTTATTGTACTTCAAGGAAAGCAAGAATCTGATTTCGCATGGTCATTGTCACTGATTTTCTTATTGGTGACTTTTAAAAGTATTAAAAAGTATTAATTAATTAAAATAAATATTAAATGAAATATATATATATATATATATATAATTAAATATATACAATGCTTGTATTTATGATATTATATTTTACAGTTGAATGTGTGTGTGTGTGTGTATATATATATATATATATATATATATATATATATATACTGTGTATATATATATATATATATATATATATATATATATATATATGACATTTGACATATAAATGACATATATATATGAATATACAATGAATATACAATGCTTGTATTTATATTACATATTAAAGTTTAATGTGTGTGTGTGTGTGTGTGTGTGTGTGTGTGTGTGTGTGTGTGTATATAAACATAAATATACAATTGAATAATTAATACATATCTATGCTAACATCCCACAATTTATCATAGAATATATAATATAAATACAATTTAAATATAATTTTTATATATGTTACGCTTCTTATTTGGAGATTATATATTAATATTTAATATATATATATATATATATATATATATATATATATATATATATATATATAATTCAATCAATTTTACAATTTCTGGAATGTATGTAAGTAGTGATTGTGGTGGTCCTCTTCTGCAGTGAGTGAGGCAGAAGGGGCTGTGAAAGTGGAAGAGTGGCAGCAGACGTTTTACGCCTCTGACTCGGGGATTCAGTCCGGCGCCACCACGATTCGTGATGAGGAGGAATCTGAGTGCTGTAAGAAGTATAGCGTCAGTGCCAGCGCTGTGGAGAGCGCCACAGGTAATGTGTTCTCTCTAAAGGTTTTCCGATGCCTCTCCAAACATTTTGATGAATTATACAACCTGAGGGCCTCCAAAACACTTCCCATTAGAGTCAGCGGCGTTCAGGCGTCGAACCCTCCCACAAGCGCTGTATGGTTTCACTGGCCTTGGACGACATTTGGAAAGCGTTGTTTTTTTCTTTACTTTTTGCTTTCTTAAGCCGCGTTTCCACCGCAGGAACTTTCCCCAGGAACTAGGAACTTTGGGGTGGTACTCCGTGTGTTTACACCGCAGGAACCAGGGTCTAAATGAAGTTCCGGGTAAAAATTTCCCCCCCAGAAAGTCCCTGCTGGCGAGGTAGTACTTTTTCAGAGTTCAGGAACTTTCGGGGTGAGACTTGTGTGCTGAACATGCTGATTGGTTCTTACCTTGTTCTCTCTGCCGGATGGAGCGCGTTCGTCCCATCCATCTCATGGTCAATGTCCGCTATAGCTGATAACAAACGTTGTCTACTTTTATATCTAGCATTACGAGCTTTCTGAATACGCTTTGGTATTAGTGTTCGTCTCTTTTCTGCCGTTTTGTTAATGACCTCGTTAGTAAACCAATAGATCGCACACAAAAGCAGCACAGCTCGAATCTCCTCAATACTTAAAACTCAAAACAGTACGCGCAGACTGGGAGGAGCAGTCGCACGCAGTTCAACGTCACCAGATCTTCCCGGTACTTTAGTCCACGGTGTAAAAAACGCAGTGAGCAACCGGTCTGGGGCAAAAAAAGTTCCTATGAAAAAAGTTCCTGGGACAAATAGTTCCTGGTAATTGCGGTGGAAACGCGGCTTTAGACAAAAGTACATCGCCTACATGAGGATATGCATTCACTGCTGTGCCACGGCTCCGAGAACCCTGTTGCTTTATCTATTCAATATTCGTATTAAACGTTTCTCATTATTCTTTGTCGTCGTGGTGCATGTCGTCAGTTCGAAATATCTGGGGATTTTAAAATAGATTCCTCAGCATGGCAGCATATGTGCTAGCGCAGTTTTGGAGGAAAGCTGCAAATTTATTGTCCGCCCAGAGCCAGTGACATTTAGAAACTGGTCCAAACACTCAGTTCAGTAGGTTCACTTTTTATGGTTAGAACATTATTGCTATCACAACAGAGCCTCGGACGCTCACAAGGCTTCCAGCACGGACTGCACTTTATTCAGACTGTCACAGACGCGCTCCCATTATTCCCTCCTCTGGTTCTCTGGTGTCAATCTATTCTGTTATTTGCCCTGAAACACGTCTCCACTGCACCACGCTACGAAATATTGCACGATGGGATGGGATTTTAAAACGATGGTATTTTATAAAACTGACTCTGAGATCTGATTGGATGAGCCACAATCTAGGTGTAATTTGTGGATGAAATAGCTGATATGCAGACACCTGTAACTGCACAATGATTCTATATTAAAGGGGTCGTGAACTGAGAAATCAAATTTTTCTTGAGGTTTTGACATATAAGAGGTCATCATATTAAGAATATCCTGAACGTTTCAGAACTGAAAATGTCCTTGTTAGTCCAAAATCAGCTTTTATGGTTAGCAGGCCCAGGCGTTAGTGTGATGAGCTCAGGGTCACTCACTGGACTCAAAATAACATTACCTTCCAAAGGATCCTAATGCTGGGAATGTGCTTGTTTATTCTCAACAACGTTTATGTCTTAGTTGAACATTATTTATTCATATTCGGTACATTTCACTGGATTCTTTGGTAAATCAGTTCGCAAACTCCTCGGCGCAGGCTTTTACGATATTGACAGTAATTACACAACATGTAAGCAACCGTTTTAATTCTAATGGCTGATCTGTTACCAGTGATTTCTGATGTAATGATTCATGTAGCTACAGTCAGATGTTCTGCGTCCTGTCAGTAAATCAAACCTAAAAGTGACTAAACGGTCAACTTCACATTGTCTCTCTTAGTAGGGTGTAAATAATCTGTTATTTAAACTGATTGAATTATAGAAAGCGATCAAAGAACGCTCCGTTTACAATAGCTGTAGCTGTCAATCAAACAGCGCGTGTGTCTGTTTATCACTGACTGAGTTCTGGACTCAGAGGGCTAAAATCAGGGTAGAAAATGCTAAATTAGGCCATTTTTGAAGTAAAAATCATACTAACATTATAAATGCACCCCAGAAAACATTATGAAACAATAAAACAATGCAGTTCATGACCCCTTTAATGCGCTAAGTCTGCATATCTAATATATATTATGCAAAATATAATTAATTATAGTAATTGGTGGAAGAACTAATCAATGTAGTTATAATAATAATAATAGTAATAATTTTAACGCATGTATTTAATAATTATTATTTAGTAATATTGTTGTTATTGTTATTATTGTGTGAAGCAAAAATGTGTTTCTTTTTATCATAAAAAATAGCACATTTAATTTTTGATCTATTATTAAATGTAAAGTATGCTATTATTATTATTATCATCATCTATTTTTCAATTATTTAATAATAATACCCATATTATTATTGTTGTTATATTATTATGTTTATATTATTTAATAAAAATAACAACAATAATAATCATTATTAAATAATAGTAATAATAATAATAGCACACTTTTATTATCACACATGTAATAATACATTAAAAAATGAAGTGCCATTATTATTATTACTATTATTATTATTTGTATTATTACTATGAATATAAGTATTACTATTATTTATCATGGTTGTTTTTTAATAATAATAAAATTAATAATATTTGTTATTATAAAATAAATAAATAATAGTAACAAAAAATTGCAAACCTACATTTAAAAATACATTCAAAAATTAAGTGTGCTTATTATTTCGGGTTTTTTTCATCCTCATCATCCTCATCTATGTATTTATTTATATGATTTAATATTAATACCCATAATATATTATTAGTATTATTATTAGTAATATTATTTAATAACAACAATAACAATCATTATTATTATTAGTAGTATTATTACTATTATTTATTTATACATATTAATAACAACAACAATAATAATCATAATCATTATTAAATAAATAAATAATAGTAATAATAATAGCACAATTTTATTATAACACATCTAGTGTTATAAGTCTGCTTATTATTATTATTACTATAACTATTATTATTATTTATTATGGCTGTTATTATGGTTATTATGGTTTATTATGGTTATTATTTTTTAACAATAATAACATTAAATAAATAAATTATAGTATTAATAATAGCACACTATTTCCAAAATTAAGTGTGCTCATTATTATTATTATTATTATTCATAAGATCACCTCTTAACAGTGTTCAAATAATTCAATATGACTCTTTTATTTCTCTCTCTCTGTACTCAGACGTTGAGGCTCAATACAGTCTAACTCGAGCCCAGAGAGTGCGTGCAGCCATGTTCCCCGAGACGCTAGTGGAGGGAGAGACGGTGCTCACCACACAGAACAATCCAGACCAGCCGACCAATGTCCAGAGACTGGCCGAGCCCTCGCAGCTGCTGAAAACAGCCATCGTACATCTCATCAACTATCAGGACGATGCCGAGCTGGCCACACGTGCCGTACCAGAGCTCACCAAACTGCTGGCCGATGACGACCAGGTACAACGTTCAGACACAACCATCACACGAAACCCTTTTAATTAAACATGCGTGTTTGAGGCTGGGAATCTAGTAAAGCCTGTTTAAAAATGCCGTCAGTTAATTATGAAAAAAACAAAGCTTTGTGCTGAAGACTTTTAAGAAAACAGAGATAAAACAGTACAGTTCTGCAAAAGGCTGTACAGTAGCTTTTGTTCTGTTGATATCCCACATCAGCAAAATGATCTAGAGTGAAATTACAAAAGTTTTGACTTAGTAGCTGTCATTCTCAGAGACTAAACCCGGGTGCGCACACTGTGATATGAGATGCAGAAAGAAAAGGGTAATGAAAAGGGCCAGAATTGTGGAAGGAGAAATAAAGTGAAACAAGAGAGAGAGTAAAAAGTGCTACGATATATATTGTGGAAAACAATTGTTGCGGAAATATTATCTGTTTTCCAACTTAAATTACTGGCTGCCAAGAGCATGCAACCAATGCAATTCTAAAAACAATTAGCAATTACCATATTTGTTAATTTTTCTATTCATGCCATGTGTATAATTAAGCATATGTTTGTATGTTTTTGTGTATTAATACATAATTTTTTAGAGCATTTTTATTTGTTTACATTGAAGAATTTTAATACTGACTTGAGTCACCAATTGTAAAATATTGTTCTTTAAGCAAAATACATATGTGTTACGAATTGCTCCGAGACTTGGGCTGAAGATCCAAATGCAGCTTTGTTGGGACATCCAGAATCATAATCAATATAACAAGCAAAGGGTCAAACATAAAACAAGATCCAAGAAACACAAGCAAATTCTGTAACTTAAAAAACAAAAACAAAAAAAAACAAGCAAACAGGGTAATCCAGAACAATGGCTAGAGAATCAAAAACCAAGACACCACTCAAAGTTGCAGTGTAACACAGATACAAGACTTCGCAACGAATGACTGAAAACACTCGGCTTATTTAGGATCATGGGAACAATATGGTTGGACTGACAGATCACTTCTACTAGACTTGATACACTCTTAACCCAGCTAATGCATTCGGGTCCATTTTGACCCAGAAGTGGCATTCAAATTTCTTTAAAAATTCATCATTTTTAGTACGAAAATGAAATGTGTGAAGGCTATCAAAATACAAAAATTTCTTGCAAAGAATTTCTCAAATTTTCAATTAATAAAAAGGTGGGAAATGTAGTAATAGCTTTTTAAAAACATGGTAAAGGGCCTTTCACACTGAACGCAATAATTCGGCATGAATGTTAGTCGCGATGGCGCTCCCGAATTAAAACAATAGATCCCTATGGAGCTTTTCACAACAGGCGTGATCAATTGTGGCGCGATAAAGCGAGATTTATTTTTTCGAACAGTGTCGATTTTTTGTCCCCGCCGCCCCCACGATGGAACGAGCCGTCCAATTAGATTTGAGCTTACCCGAGCCGCTGCTGTTGCACAAAAGTGCGAGAGTGGTGGCGCTGTTTTGAAAACCCGTGTAAACACAGAAGAAACGTTTTCTGGAAGAGAGAAGAGAATGGATGTTGAGTTCTTGTTATCACTGCTGTCTGAGAATAGATTTATTCTCATGTTTACTTGAATATTTCTGTATACAGAAAATCATTTCTATTAATTTTCCACTGAATTATGCGATCTGAAGAGCACTGTCCGTTTTCCTCCACGGCGCACGAGTGTTATGAGTCAGAGAGCACATTCGCTCTAGATCTGTCAGTCATGTTCATAACTCGTGCCCTTTCGCACATAAAGAATTGAGAGAAACGTTTCAGATGAAACATGAAGCCAAATAGACATAATGATTACGACGATATACTGTATGTGTTTTTCATGCGGCTCGGGGTATTTTTACAACAATGAACAAATGTTTGAAATTGAGAAATACAAGCAGGTAGTGTTCAGTTCATTATAACACTTCACATAATGCATGATTGCCTATTATATAATCAAAATGCACTTTTGATCACAATCGGAAGTATTGTAAGCCCTTAATTATGATTCAAAGTGGGTTTTGAGCAAAAATCTGAATAATACATTAATTGTGAAGTGTAGCTTGATGCTAATTGTACCTCTCATTACATTTTATGATGTATTCTTGTAAGCATTATAGATATTGTGTGTTTCTGGTGTAGTACCAAACTTAAAGGTGAACTAAGTAACTTTTTTACCTTAACCGAACAGCTTTGGAGTCATTGTAATGTTTATATTACTGATTTCGTGTTGAATGGTGGTCGTCTCGCACCCCCCTGGTGCCTGTGAGCCGCAAAACCACCCTTGCAACTTTGGGCCGGCGGGCCGGCCGGCCTCAGTGTTAGGAAGTATCGTGTGATATCAGGTCTCGCGAGGTAACGAATTGCTTTACGGCAAAAAAACAGATCTGATAAAATTCTGATAAAATGAGCATCAAACAGAAATAACCCGGCGCCGTATACATGTGGTGTTCGAGGCGCACATACAATACAGACTGCCGACAGTTAAACAGGGCGCGCAGCTCTTAAAGGGGCCACACCTTATTTCCACTCGTTACAGCGTCCATCCTACTGAACAGGTACCGGTGTACAGGGGGAGGGGATCCGGCCGTGAGTGCGAGCCATCTCTGCGTGAGTGCTATTCACGACAGTACAAGTACTCCACAGCGACTCTAGGGGTCGCTGTTTGACAAAAACGGAATTCCTACTTAGTGCTGCTTTAAATTAATGCTGTTGTGCCGCAAATGATCGTAAACAGAAAAAACTTCCAAATGCATAACCTGTGATGAAAAATGTGATTTAGCCGAAGCCGATTTGTCGTTTCGCGTTCGGTGTGAAAGCTCCATTCGTCAGCGATTCGTCTTAGTTACAATATGGTTTTAGTTGTAAAATATTAAGTTATGACTGTTTTACAAAGCTTACGTTCCACTGGGTCCAATGCTGGCTTTTTTAACGCATAATAAGGGTGAATAATAAAGGTTCTTTATTGGCATCTATCGTTCCATGAAGAACCTTTAACATCCATGAAACATTTCCATTCCACAAAAGGATCATTATAGTGGAAAAAGGTTCTTTAGATTTTTAAAATCTTCTTCACACTAAAACAATGGTTCTTTTAATAATTGTTCCCTGAAAGGTTCTTAGTGGAACCCAAAATGGTTCTTCTATGGAATCGCTGCAAAAAAAAAAAAAAACCCTTTTGGAACTTTAGAGCGTAGACATAAAAGTTGAAACTTTTTCTTTTACGATGGCAGGTGGTGGTAAACAAGGCAGCCCTCATTGTGAACCAGCTGACGCGTAAGGAGGCGTCCCGTCGTGTGCTCATGCAGTCTCCTCAGATGGTGTCCGCTGTGGTGAGGGCCATGCAGAACACTGGAGATCTGGAGACGGCCCGCTGCGCTGCCAGCGTCCTGCACAGCCTGTCCCACCAGCGCGAGGGACTGCTAGCTATCTTCAAATCGGGTGGCATCCCCGCACTCGTGCGCATGCTCAGGTGAGTGTATGCACAAAAAGCGTTTTCCATATGAACCAGGATATGTAAACAGGTTGTTCAGCATAGCTTAACTGGTGAGGAAACACAGATAGGTAATTGGAGAGTCTTACAGGGAGAACGCTGGAGGAATGCGAGGAGAACTATTCTATGGCATATATTTCTATGGCATCGGTGAAGTGGACTTATTGTAGAATTAAGAAAAGCTATCATGAGCATTGTAATGTTATAAGCGGATGTCATAACATATGTCAGTAGACCGGGACCGGTTCATTCATGAATTCGTAAGATCTTACCTTCATGCTGTGGAAATACCAACCGGAAGAACGAGTGCAGCGCTGAAAAGGGGCGTGGCTACATGCGATTTATAGAAACAGTAATGGTCCTGAGACGCGTGTTTTTTGTCATGATTTGAGCCTTTAGAAACAAAACGTATGAGATAGTTGTTGTCAGATTTCATTGATGACTTCAAATATGAAATTAAATCGGAATCTTGGTGAACAGCTTTGGAGAATTTGATGTTTCCCCATTTAAATAGAGAGGAGCTTCACTTGCATGCCTGAAATAGCTGCTCGAGAGGCGTTTCAAAGATGGCCGACGAGTGAAATAACTCGCCTTAAAGGGACTTTGACCATAAATATCCATCTTGTCACAGGCTAGCTTTCTGGCGGGCTCTGTGGTACTGATGTATGGTGAGAACACAAATACTCTTATCTTGCTGAAATCTTGACGGATTTTCAAACGGTTTGGTTTCTTACAAACGTTATTAACGTGGCTAGATAATTTTGGTTGATTATTTATACACTTATTTTTCATGAGTGTGCAGTGTCATAACTACATTTCTGACGTTTATAACAAACCAAACCGTTTGAAAATCGGTAGAAAATTGAGCAAGTTATGGTTATTTAAAAAGTACATACACCATTAACACAATGTTACGAGTGAGCGAGCTGCCTGTGACAAGATGGCCGCCAGGTACTGACGTCGACCTCCATTGGCTAGCAGCGCGGACGAGACATCTAGCCTTTATTATGGATATCTATGACTTTGACTATTTTAATAATTTCATTAAATATCCACATTGTAACAGTGGATGCTTGGGCAAAGACAAAGTGAAATTGAATTAAATGGCAATTAATGAAACAAAGCCATCTCAGAATATTACATTTGACCAAAGGCTAATAAATATCACATTTTTTAATCTATATTACCAGTCTTGGAAAAATGCAGATACCCTGTGTTCACTTATGTATTTCTAATATAAGAAAAATGGTGAATGACAGATGCTTAGACGGTCTGATGCGTTTGTGTTTTAATTAGTCCCTTGACTGTTCATGGCCAGACACATGTTTTGGTTGAATAGTGGTAAACGTTTGATGGACACTCACAGTTCCTAAGAGAACCTCAGACGGACCATGCTCGATCATCGCCAAATCAGTGGTATCTAGCATAGAAATTTTCAGGAGGGAAGCCATAATCCTTCCATTTTGGGTCTGGTCAACCTGACATTTTCTTTCCCAGTCGTGTTAGTCTTGGTGTGCACGTTAAGCTTTCCTCTCATTGTGGCGCACATTAATTTCTGCTCACTTTGTCTCCTTTATATTTTGTGAATGATGCCTTGAGCTAACCTGTGGTGCATTCTGATGAACACTGTGTGACTAAGCAATGCTAAAGCAGGACAACGTGTCTAGTTCTATCTCTGTGTAAGAAAACGTCCACTACCCCACCCTGTAATAGGGGCCATAGCAGAGCTGTATTTTAGAGATATATTTGGACTGTGATGGCAAATTTGCTCTGTCAGAAAGCCCATTTATAGCAGATGCTGAGATAATAGAGCAGAGCAGAATCTTTATGACCACACAACCAGGGCTGCTGTAACTTTGACACAGTATCAGCTTATTAAGTTTCATGGAGAGTCTCCTTGGTGCAGCCAGCCTGTATTGAAATGTCACGATCAAGGATGCCATGGTGAGATCTTAAAAAATTGGTGCGTGTAACCACTGTAATAGAAGCCCAGATCTGTAAAGGTGAGGTGTGTAATTTTTCTGATGTGAAAGCACTCTTTTCTCTTTCAGTTTAATATGCAGAGACAACTATAAGTAAGCCATTCGTAGGTTGATTTCTCTGAAAATGGTAAACTGTAGCTGAATTTTTTTTTTTTTTTTTTTTTTTTTTTTACATCCCGACATGGCATAGGCACAGGATAATAGGTTCTGTATCAGTAGTAGCCAATGAGCTCGCGTGCTCAACCTTCGAATACTTGGGTAGCATTTGCTCTTATGGTAGATCCGATTAATCGAGATTAATCGATTTGAAAGCACTAATTTTAATAATATGACATAAAAAGCAAGTATGAAAATAGTTTAGTGAATTTTTCATTGTATTATATTATATTATGATTGTCTATAATAATACTTAATTTAGAAATATTATTTATTTTATAATAATTATTATTATTATTTTAATAATAATAATGTTAATCTCCTTTCTTGCAACATTGGCTAGAGCAAATATAAACAATTAGCTTAAATAAAAGTAAATATTTTTAAACCTTTTAATTTCACATGACTCACTTGCTTTTACACAAAATGTAAGTATTGTCCGTATACATTAAAATCTGCAGCTGCTTTTTTATTTTAGGAAGAGTGTCCCTCACATCATATTTAGTGTTTCTGGACATTACAATCTATTTGACCCATATGTTGTAAATATTCTATTCGTTCTTCAGTTCCCCTATGGAGTCAGTGCTGTTCTATGCCATCACCACGTTACACAACCTGTTACTGCACCAGGAGGGAGCCAAGATGGCGGTGCGTTTGGCCGATGGACTGCAAAGAATGGTCCCCCTTCTGAAAAAGTCCAACCCAAAGTTCCTGGCCATCACCACAGACTGCCTGCAGCTGCTCTCTTACGCCAATCAGGAGAGCAAGGTGTGTGTGCATTACAGCGCCCCCTGTGGCAACACTGAGAATGCATTGCCTTAGGAATTGAGTTTGTAGAGTGAATGTCTCACAATCCATGTTGTTGTTCTCTCTTCACAGTTGATCATCCTGGCAAATGGTGGGCCAGAAAGTTTGGTGTTCATTATGAGAAACCACAACTATGAAAAGCTGCTATGGACCACCAGCAGAGTCCTGAAGGTGCTTTCGGTCTGTCCGAGCAACAAGCCGGCTATCGTTGACTCTGGTGAGTGTATCTTTTGTCTTTGTTTCACTTTTGTAATTTTTTCCTTTTATTCCTAGACCCTAGAGGAATATTATTATCTCTTTTATTTCATTCCCGAGGACTGTTCTCTTGGGCATTTTGTATAATTTCCCTATAATATCGCATCTCATTTTTTTGTGTGTTTGGGGCTTTTTGCATCTTTTTTTCCCCACTTCTTGATTAATGAATTTCCATGACTTTTCCATTCATTCATGGTTATTAAAAGACATATTTATGAGATTGCTGGGGGCGATTTTTATTTGTTTGTCGTGTGCCAATTCTTTGAATAAAAACATTTGAACATTGAATTATACACTACACTTCAAAAGTTTGGGGTCGGTATATTTATTAATGTATTTGAAAGAAGTCTCCTTTGCTCACCAAAGCTGCATTCATTTAATCAAAAATACAATAAAACAGTCATATTGTGAAATATTGTTACAATTTAAATGTTCTATTTTAGAGTATTTTAAAATGTAATTTATTACTGCGATGGTAATAAATCAGCATAATTTCTCCAGTCTTAAGTGTCACATGATCCTTCAGAAATATCAAAGTTTGAAACAGTGTTTCTGCTTAATATTTTTTGTGGAAACTGCAATACTTTTTTTTTCAGGATTCTTTTGTGAATAGAAAGTTCAAATGAACAGCATTTATTTGAAATAGAAATATTTTGGACTATTAAATACATATAAATCTCGTTATCTCAATTTTGATACATTGAATGCATCCTTGATGAATAAAAGTATTAATTTCTTAAAAAAAAAAAAAAAAAATTCATACTGACATCAAACCTTTGAATGGTATAGTGTATGTTTTGTGTGCAAAAGCTCCAAAAAGACAAATGAGATTTGAATGCAGATTAATAGATGATTTGTCTTTCTGAGCTTCTGTGCACAGCTTGACCTTTCTTTTTTATTACCATTCCATGACTTTCCCAAGTCTAGAAAAAACACTATTTGTAAAATTCTCAGATGTTTGTCATGTTTTTTATGATCATGAGAGACAATTGCCAGAATTGTTGGGGAGAGTAGGGAAATGGGATCGGGACACATTACGAGCCCAACTTGAACCTGCATCATCCACATGAGCACCATGCCTCAACATATCAGGAGCATGTGTGCAAACAGTCCCAGCAATACATGATTTATATTTGATTCAGCCATTGAACTCAATTAAATTTTCCATTAAAACTAATATTACATCTTTATGTTAAACCCCACCTTTGACCTACCTTTGTCAGTACATCTTCACAGCAGTCATGGATGTTACTTTATTAATTCTGACCTTTCAGCGAATTAATTCTTAAATATACAACGGCAAAGGTTGTGGGACTCAAACATCTCGCCCTATCGCGCCTGCCATGGCTGATCTCATCAAAGTCTTTACAGTTACGGCGTGACTATGTCCTTTCCCATATGAAGCTTTGGCGCTCGTCTTGAGAAAGCGCTGAGGATCAGGTAGTTACAACACTGGATGAGAGGCAGTTTTCAAGGATGTCTCCTAATCTCCTTCCCTCTTTTTATCTTCCTAAGCCATGTGGCTTTTAGTTTATCTGCACCGACTCCAAAAGACATTTCTCTCCCCTTGGCAGACAATGGCTAATCCATGGAGAAATACAGCCTTCTTTTTAGAGCAGGTTGTGTAGCTGAATAGTTTTGTTCTTTTTTTTGTGTGTGTGGCTAAGTCCGATAAATATGGACTCTAAACCCTTTTTCTCTCCGTTTGGCAGGAGGTATGCAGGCCCTTGGCCAACATCTCACAGGTTCGAGTCAGCGTCTAACACAGAACTGCCTGTGGACCCTGAGGAATCTCTCTGATGCCGCAACCAAGCAGGTAATGGAGCTGTTCCACTCTGTAGATCGTGTGTTTGCTAGCGCTGCTTGTTATTGTTGATCATACTTTGGGTTAGCGATTTTATTCTCTTAACCAGTGGTGAATTTCTCAACATGAATGACATCGTGTGGCTTATTGAGAAGAGCTGCTTTTCAAAGCAACTGGGATTTTTGCCTGATGGATGATGGATCAGGTGAAAACTCCTGAACAAGATTTCCACTGAACAAGAGACCAAAGCCATATGAGACCAGACTATTGTACAACTTGACTTGGGCTTGCAAGGAACCATCCAGAATTAGGTTTGGGTATCGTTTGAATTTGAGCAATTCCAATTCATCTTATCGATTCCAATTCTTATAGGTACCCAGTTTCGATCCCAGTAAGGTAAAAACATGTAGTCAAACATTTATATCAAACATATTTAACTGTGTCTTTTGGTAAAACGTTTTTTTACAGGTGATTTCCATGAACAAAAATCAGCGGCCTTCAAAAAAAAAAAAAGAACACAACATTTTCCTATGGGTTTAGCAAAAATACCACAGCAAAAAACAACTGGACTAACTAATATACATTTCGAAAATTAATATTAAATGGTAATCCTTAAGATTAATCCTTATTAAAGTTATTAAGTCAAGATCAGTGAGTGATTTTTCTTTTGTTCTTTGATTAATGTTAATGACACAGACTGGAGAAGGTTTATTAGGCTGCTGTCACTTTAAGACCTCATGCAGGATCCATTTACACATGCATTTTCTTTCTAAACTCTTCAAGTTTATGTTCACTTAAGACAATTTCGCGTCTTCTTGCCCTTGAAAATGGTTTGAAATCACATTTAAATGCGCACACATGAATCGATAAAACTGAATTGAAATTTTAATTTTGTTACAAGTATCCGATTCCTGACCTTACGTATCCGATCCGATCGATTTTCGATTCCCAACCTTACCCAGAATACCTTAGGAATTTTTGATCAAAACCCAAGAAACAATTCAGATCATCTTATCAACGCTCAAGGGGAGAAAGGTGGTGACGATTGATGGGGGGGGGGGTTGCCATCATTTTCAACCGAGGGGGATGATCCCACTCCCGTCCCAGATCGGGATTTCAGTTGAGGGAAGCTATTTCAATTATTTAAAAAATATATATATATCTGCTCTGTTATTGCTTTGAAGAATAACTGCTGTTCCAAAGGAAATACAGCTGAAATATGGAATTGAATTAATAATACAGTTCTTTTTGAAAGGAAAAACTGTTTATGTTTTTACCATGTTACTGTATTTCTTCATAAAGTGAAACAAAATTACCCCAATTATCCTGAAGAGAAAATCAGTCAATCAAGAATCTAGGCTGAATGTGAAATGTCTTTTAAAAACAGATAATTAGTATATTTGCCTACTAATGAAATTACAATAGCATTTCATTATACAGTACAATTATTAAATGTGCAAATGCTCCTAAGGATTTCAGCTCAGACAAAGCTTGAAAGACATGAAAAGGCTTTCATGTAGTCTGACGTTTTTTCCTCTGTACTTTCAAATGCTTTTAAAGTTCAGGCGACTTGTGGTTTTTATAATTATTCCTCACCTCCACACAATTTGTCCCTCATTACTGCTACTCAGAATTCAGTGGCCCAGAAAATACACAATTAATGATAACCAGGTTATCATTTTCGTCCTTATTATTAAATTCACAGAACAAAAACAACTATGAACAGACGCGTCCCCTTCTGCTCTTACGGAAAGTGTCTAGAATTTAAATGTATGAATTTGAGCTCACGTCATTCCGGTGTGTGTCCGTCTAATCCTTCACACACCCGCGTTCTTTCTTATCTCCTTCCTCCACTGCCTTTCCTCTTTCATTTGTTCCTTATCATGGTCATTATTTCATTTGTGATAATTAGCGGTTTGACTGTCTGATTCTTGAAATGTTTTTTTTTTAATGTGAATCTTTGCGCTGTTACTGTCACTGATCTTTTTTATGCATGAAACATCAAATATCTGGGTTATAGTGATGCACTTACAGAAGAAATGGACCTTTACGCATTAAAATACTTACTGTTTAAATATTATACCCCAAGATGTAACCAATATGTGTTTTGTGAAAAACATGATTTTTTTTCTGTGTAGTTGTATCAAATATTACAACTTTGCTGACATGACGACATGATGGCGTAAACCATAAAACAACTAAGAATGATGATTTAAAACAGCTTTGCTGCTTAAATAATAGGTTTAACACAAGACTTATTAGAAGTGTTTTATAACATTCTTTATAAAAATAACAAGGCACAAAATAATACTTTGCTGTCAATGGACCTTAACTTACACAACTGATCAAAAGTTTGGTCGGTAAGATTAAAAAAAAAAAAATGCAAAAAGATGCATTAAATTGATCAAAAGTGAGAGTAAATAAATGTATTATATAACAAATGAATGTAAATAATGCTGTTCTTTCTATTCATCACAGAATCCTGAAAAAATGTCACTGTTTCCACAAAAATATTAAACAACACAACTGTTTGTCACAGGATCATGTGACACTGACGACTGGAGTAATGATGCTAAAGGCTTTGTATCACAGGAATAAATTACATTTTAAAATATATTCAAATAGAAAACCGTTATTTTAAATTGTAAATATATATATATATATATTTTTTTTTACAATTTTTGATCAAATAAATGCAACCTTGGTGAGCATAAGAGACTTTTTTCAAAAACATTTTAAAAAAAATCCTACTCACCATCCTTGAGTACAGTAGATTAAAGTACTTCTCTGGTTCATTAGGCATATCAAGCTCCAAATAAGCCAAAAAGGAAGCCTAAAAGCATCATAAAAGTGGTTCATATGACTCATCCACTATATTGCAGGACTTCTGAAGCTCTATGTTAGAGACAGACTGACATTTAAGTTATTTTAATTTGTTATTTACAGAAAATCTTGTGATCACCTTTCACTTTAATTGAAACATTCTGCTATAAATGTCCTGAGAGAATAAAAGTTGTGGGAGAAAGAAAATCCTATATATAAAATATATTAAATAGAAAGAAGTAAATACAGCCTTGGTGAGCATAAGAGACTTCCTTCAAAAATCCTTACAGACCCCAAATGTATTTGAAATGTATTGAATTCTTGTTTCCTGTCGATACAGGAAGGTCTGGATGGTCTCCTGCATATCTTAGTGAGTCAGCTGGGCTCGGATGACGTGAACATGCTGACCTGCGCTACTGGCATCCTGTCAAACCTCACCTGCAACAACGCACGCAACAAGGCCCTGGTCACTCAGAGCGGCGGGGTGGAGTCCCTGATTCACGCCGTGCTTCGAGCCGGAGAGAAGGAGGACGTGGCCGAGCCGGCGGTCTGTGCCCTGCGTCACCTCACGAGCCGTCACCCCGACGCAGAGCTGGCCCAGAATGCAGTGCGTCTGCATTACGGCATCCCCGCCATCACCAAGCTCTTGGGTCAGCCGCACTATTGGCCTGTGGTGAAGGTCTGTATGTGTGTGTGTATGTGTGTGTGTCTGAATTGCTGCCAATTTGAAAGCCCTCTCTGGCGTTTGAATTGAAAGGTCAGATTTGAATCATCTGGGTGCAGGGCTTGCGTGGCTTTGATGTGGAAGAATGCTGAGACTTGCCTCTCTTGTTAAGCTGATTTGGTGCCGGATCTTAGTCATTGAGCGGCACTCCTACGCTCCTCCGGGGCTTCAGCATAATTTTGAGGACACTAGCCGGAACAATAAAAGAGCCCTCGAGCATCATATGCAAGGGATCTCTGCCATACATGGACTGAAAGCAGCAGAGCCTTGTGTCAGGATGCCAGGGTAAAATACATTTGTGTTTCACGGAAGAAGTGTAATGGTAACACTTTACAATAAGGTTCATTTTTTAAACATTAGTTAATGTATTATCTAACATGAACTAACCAGCAATACATTTTTTACTGTTTTTGCTCATCTTTGTTTACGTTACTTAAAGGGATACTTCACCTCTGGAAAGATGAATGTGTATTTAAAATAGGTCATTTATGTAGAAGAAATATGAAATTATTTTTGAATTTGGAGCTTTCTAGACTGAGAAAAGCCAGAAAATGTTTTTTTGGCTTATGTGGATGAAAGACACCAACTCCCAGAATGCACTTGCTTCGCTGCCCTAGGAGGCCACGCCTACCGGTAACAGAGCGCAGTAGTTAAACAACAACACACACAGAGGAGGAGCGGGAATTTTCTTAGCAATGTTAAAACGCACATCAACTGATCACTTGTTTAGCGTTCATGTAAACACTACATTCAGATTCACCAATCAGAATGAATTCAGTTAGATTGAAAGAAAAGGTGTGCATGTAAACAATGAATGGCGACTGCAGAAAGCAAAAGCTGAATCCCGGACATCGACGGCCGGACATGTCTGGGAAAAAGAGGATGGTAACCCCTACTACTCAGCTTTCTCCACAGAACAAGAGCCTGCTAGCTTAGCTTCCAAAAAAAAGATGGCTGACACTATGAGTACATTCTGTGAGTGAGATCCCACCCTCTATGGGCGGGTTGAGAACATGCGGGACAGCCCCTACTACTGACTGTAGTCTTTAGCCTCTGACCAAAAAATCCTCCGATGACGCAAAATGACGATTTTTGCGTCATCTGAGGATTTTTTCCAGACAAAAAATACATAAATCTCTCGTCTCAGGGGGATATGAGGGTGGAAAGCATGGTAATTCGAAAATACCACAGGTTTTCTACTAATACAAAGCTTAACTGAACTTTATGCAAATATTATAGCTCATCCAATCAATTTGGGGCGAGACTCTTTGTATTGTGATTCACTACCGTTCAAAAGTTGGGTTGGTAAGATTTTTTGTTATTAAAACATTCATATTTTTATTCAGCAAGGATGCATTCAATTAAACAAAAGTGAAAACAAACACATTTATAATGTTATAAAAGATTTCTATTTCGAACAAATGCTGTTCTTTTCATCAAAGAATCCTGAATAATAAGAAAAGTTCTTTGAGCAGCAAATGAATGATTTCTGAAGGATCATGTGACACTGAAGACTGGAGTAATGATGCTGAAAACTCAGCTTTGACATCACACGAATAAATTACATTTTTAAAATGAATTCAAATAGAAAACAGTTCATTTCAATTGTATTAATTTCACTATATTACTTTTTTTATTATTATATTTTTGGATCAAATAAATGCAGCCTTGGTGAGAATAAGAGAACAAAACAACTCAAAACCTTACTGACACTAAACTTTTCCCCTCAATATTTGAATATGTGAAAAAAACAACTTCCTTTACTTCCATGAAAATTAAAAAGTCAGTCAGTTTTCCTTTGCACTTCTAAAATTAACCTCACGATTATTTATCTTGTCAATGTCTCCATGCTAGTCAAAGCCCTTGAAGCTTTGTCGAATCAGAAGGTCGTAGCGAGTGTAATTGTCTCTCTGATTTGTGGTGGGCCGGACTCTTGATTGTCTCTCTGTGAGCGCGGGCTCCCGGCACGCATGATCTCTCGCTTAATCGTATCAGACCGTTGGAGCAGAAACCTGTGTGTGTGTGTGTGTGCTGTGATCGGTTCAGCACGTGTGTATCGATCCAGAAGAACGACAATGCCAGGCTTTTATTTTCCCTCACATTCTGCATGCAGAAATTCCTAAAAAAAAAATCAACCTGGCTTAATAGGAAGTCTATAAAGTGTTTACATTGATTTATTTTACTCAGATGTTTTGTGTTGCTCTCCGCTGCGGTGCACTCACTGATTTGTTTCTATATATGATGAGCTTACCAATATCACACCGCCACGTTTTCGCATTTTCAGTGCCATTTGCTTTTTTAAGCCGTAGATAGGCATTAATATATTCTGCAAACGAAAGTGTCCAATAAGATTAACAAGATGAAGTGAGAAGTATTGGGCTGCTAATGTAATCTCAACTGGCCTGTGTAAAAATCAAACCACTTTTATTTATTAGACTACTGATGGTACCATTTGATGCTATCACTTTTCAAAAGTGCTATTCATTTTTTTTTAAACCTGTTAAACATTTTAAATGAATGCACCTTTAAGTAAATCAGTGAACCATGAGAGACTGCATTACAGTGATTTTACTAAGAACGAAAAATACTGTTTATATACAGTACATACACACACAGAGAAACATATAATATATATAAATATAATAATATATATACACACCTATATTATGTAAACAAACTTTTATGTTAGACACAATTAATCTAGTTTGACAGCAGTTTTTTTTAATCTATTGATTTATTGATTTTAATTTAAAAAAATACTTATAATGTTTTGTTTTGGAAGCGAGTTTGTATTTTGCTCTCCATTTTTGAGCATTATAAAGCAATAAGAATTCTGTACTACAGTCACTCCATTATAATCCCTGTAATCAACAGTAATCTTGTGGCCTATTGCTTTTATTAAATTGCGGCAACAACAATATGATACCACTATTCAATAAAAAGTTACATTCATGAAGAATAATAATCATAATAAATTAATCAGAATGATAATCAGAATGAATAATATTCTTCCCAGTAATATAATAATAATAATACATTTTATTTATATTGCGCTTTTCTTGTGCCCAAAGCGCCAATATAGCTATAGCCTAACTGTAAAGTAGTATGGACCAAATTGATCATTTATCTGACTCATTTAGTGTCAGAACTATTCATTTTAAAATGCCTCTATGTAGAAACCAGACAATTTCACAAACAAAATGTGCGAACCTTCTGTACACTTTGGCTGATGGCTTTGGTTGCACCCAGACAGGGTGGGGAAGACAGATCACTAATGCAACACACATGATTCCCCGATGTCTGGAAAGCATCGCATCGTGTTTCTTCCTACTTCCATTTGGAGAGGTTTCTGGCACTTGACGTGTCTTGCCGTCCCGCCCTGCAGAGATCCGCTCTATCAGCAGGCGTTCTCTAATCAGCAGAGGAACGTTGTGGACTAATGATGCGTTGTGAAGGAGGCCGTAGGAAATTAAGCGTTTACGCAATGCTGTTTGTGCACAGATGATTAGGCAGAAGCTAAATGACTCCTCACTTAAACGCATGACATTTCCACTGAACTACATTGTGGAGTGACATACAGGTGATTTCACCTACAAAGACTCGCGTGTGCATTGATGCATCCATAAACAGTTTTACATGCACTTACATCAAGCATCTCAACCTAAACTTTGTATTCAGCTCAATTTTTTAATTAAAAAAACATTGTTGCGAGTAACCTCGCTCAGTTGCTCATATTGATGTCAGTGCGTGAGTTTCACTCGCCAGTCAGCACTTTGAGTCACTTGTTCGAGATGATGACAGCTTTGAGGAATGGAATTACAGTGGAGCTGAACATTGAGGAATTCACCACAGTTGTGTTTAGATTTAGGTTATGACTTTTTGTATAGGTATAGAGGTACAGAAGTGGGTCACGGTTCATTGTGTTTAAGGGAATTTAACTAATATTGTTTTTCACAGACAGCATTAAGATTCATAGGAGAGAACATTTTGGGATTTGGAGAGATGTTCGCTTGCTTTTTTGCCCTTGTTTCTCAGATTTTTCTCAACAACTGTGTTCAGCTTTACCAAGAAACCAAAGACTGCAATCAAAATCATGTACCTGAATATAAACTCATCAAATTCTTACAAAACCAAATTATGTGAGCTATGCGATCCCAATAATTTATTTGGTAATTCAAAAATAAAAAACGTTGTCAAAACAATCCCCGCTCTCAAGGATCCGGGAAAACAACTAAAAACACTGTAAGATTCATGCCAGGCCAGTAGTTGGCGATGTCAATTTGTAAAGAAACACTACGTGCCTATATACTGAACACGTAATACGCATGTGCATGATGTCACCGTTTTCACAAATTTACATTTTTGTTGTTAATGGTATCATTTTCAAGAACTTTCTCTTTGAAACCGGATTTCACACGCTTGCATTTTCAGGCTGCCAAAACGCAGTTGTCGTTTAAAAGAACAGCCAAAACGTATAAAAAGTTTTCCGTTTTTAGTTAAAAACAGTGTCGTGTAAACGAACCCTCAACTTTGCCAAATGCCAAGATACCAAAGACTGCAATCAAAATCACACATCTGAATATTAACTCATCAAAATCTTCCAAAACCAAATTATCTGAGATATTTATTTATTTACTTATTTATTTATTTCAGTTTTAGGCATTTTAAGAAAAGTGTCAGCTAACGGTCATATTTAAACTATATATATATATATATATATATATACACTCACCGGCCACTTTATTAGGTACACCTGTCCAACTGCTCGTTAACACTTAATTTCTAAGCAGCCAATCACATGGCGGCAACTCAGTGCATTTAGGCATGTAGACATGGTCAAGACAATCTCCTGCAGTTCAAACCGAGCATCAGTATGGGGAAGAAAGTTGATTTGAGTGACTTTGAACGTGGCATGATTGTTGGTGCCAGAAGGGCTGGTCTGAGTATTTCAGAAACTGCTAATCTACTGGGATTTTCACGCACAACCATCTCTAGGGTTTACAGAGAATGGTCCGAAAAAGAAAAAGCATCCAGTGAGCGGCAGTTCTGTGGGCGGAAATGCCTTGTTGATGCCAGAGGTCAGAGGAGAATGGCCAGACTGGTTCGAGCTGATAGAAGGGCAACAGTGACTGAAATAACCACTCGTTACAACCGAGGTATGCAGCAAAGCATTTGTGAAGCCACAACACGCACAACCTTGAGGCGGATGGGCTACAACAGCAGAAGACTCCACCGGGTACCACTCATCTCCACTACAAATAGGAAAAAGAGGCTACAATTTGCAAGAGCTCACCAAAATTGAACAGTTGAAGACTGGAAAAATGTTGCCTGGTCTGATGAGTCTCGATTTCTGTTGAGACATTCAGATGTTAGAGTCAGAATTTGGCGTAAACAGAATGAGAACATGGAACCATCATGCCTTGTTACCACTGTGCAGGCTGGTGGTGGTGGTGTAATGGTGTGGGGGATGTTTTCCTGGCACACTTTAGGCCCCTTAGTGCCAATTGGGCATCGTTTAAATGCCACGGCCTACCTGAGCATTGTTTCTGACCATGTCCATCCCTTTATGGCCACCATGTACCCATCCTCTGATGGCTACTTCCACCATGTCACAAAGCTCTAATCATTTCAAATTGGTTTCTTGAACATGACAATGAGTTCACTGTACTAAAATGGCCTCCACAGTCACCAGATCTCAACCCAATAGAGCATCTTTGGGATGTGGTGGAACGGGAGATTCGCATCATGGATGTGCAGCCGACAAATCTGCGGCAACTGTGTGATGCCATCATGTCAATATGGACCAAACTCCCTGAGGAATGCTTCCAGCACCTTGTTGAATCTATGCCACGAAGAATTGAGGCAGTTCTGAAGGCAAAAGGGGGTCCAACCCGTTACTAGCATGGGGTACCTAATAAAGTGGCCGGTGAGTGTATATAAACTATATATTTCACATGAAACAGAGCAAACTCATTTTTTATAAACTGTTTTTTTTTATCTCAATAAAAACTCATCAAATCTCCCATCAAATTGATTCAAAACCAAAGTATGTGAGCTACTGTATTTGATGATCCTTGTTTATTTATTCACTGGTTTTAGGCATTTTAAGAATTTTTTTGGAAACCATTGCATTAATCCATTTTTGAGCAGAAGAAAACAACAAGAAAATAATTGAATAAAGAAGTTGCCAAGAATGTTATGAACAGTAGTTTATATGCTGTACATCTTTCCCACTATAGGCCACAGTGGGCTTGATTCGCAACTTGGCCCTGTGTCCAGCCAATCAGGCGCCTCTGAGGGAATCTGGGACAATCCCTCGACTGGTCAACCTGCTTTTGAAAGCTCATCAGGAAACTCAAAGACACGGCTCAGGGGCCCAGCAGACCTATCAGGTGCATTTGAGGGTTTTTCTACCTGTGCATGGATTTTCCATACATCCTAGTTGGCCTCTTTATTCACCCTCACATATAGGCTGGAGCCTCCAAAGGGAGGTTAAAATACAATCCAATTAGCATCAAGGCCCCAGTATTTGTCATAGACCAGGTCCCTCTGGTGTTGGAGTTAATGTTTTCTTCTCACTTTCGCTCTTTTTTTCACAGGATGGCGTGCGAATGGAGGAGATTGTGGAAGGCTGTACAGGCGCTTTGCATATACTGGCCAGAGATCCGATCAACCGAGGGGAAATCGCCAGCATGCAGACCATTCCTCTGTTTGTGCAAGTACTGAACCAACTTATGGCATTCCTGGCAGTGAATCTGGTTCATCTGTGTGTGTTGTGATGTGTGGGTGTTGTGGTGCGATGATGACTGCAGGGTGTCTGGCTGCTGTTTGTTTTTGTGCATTTGTCCATGTTTATATTACACTACCAGTTTTGGGGAAGCTACGTTTAAACTACAGGTTTAAGCTTTCGTTTAAACTATAGTCAAGCTACTCTTTTAAAAAGTAGTTCTCTTAAAAAACGTCTTTAAAAAACGAAATACCCTTAATGCATAACTGTTAGATAATATTATTTATGATTTAATAAGAGTCAGCCTTTTCTGGCACAAAAAAATGAATAATTTTAATTGGGTCACAGTAATAAAGTTGAATATATTAACTTAAATACAACTAATTAAGCTTAATTTATATACTGTAACTGAGTTGAAGCACAGTAGGTTTTTAAAGTCCCCCTGCAGTCAATAATTTTATCACTTAAAAATTACCAAAGTGACATATTAAACGATTTTCCTTGAAAAAAAAATTCTTCATGCATTAAAATAACTTGAATTTTACACCCTTGCCTTATTTAGTATATGCGGTTCTATAAATATGCAAATGAGCCCTGCCTCCACGCACTCACTTCGGGGGGCTTCAAGCTCAAACAACGTTTTGCTACCGTTTCCGGGTTGAACGACATGTTTCCTGGAAACAGATACGTTTTCTCTTGTTTGGTGGGTGTTTCAAAAATCTCAGCCCAATCAGCAGCAACGTATATATAAACCACGCGGTATTAAAGAGACAGCTCGCACAATGTGTCCAAATAAAGTCGTTTACGAATGTGTCCGCTGCAGCTCGGTATACGCAACAATTGAAGATATTAGAAGACATGTTTGTCTTCTCGTCTTGAAATGCGAGCCAAATATTGGATCACAATAATTTGGAACCAGTTTCCACAAATCCCTTCACTCGATTGGGATGTTCTCTTTTATTCTGGACGGCAAGGGCAGTGACTGTAACATCGAGCGTATTTTGCAGTATTAAACATGGATTTATACCGATTTCATCAGGCTCCGAAAATTCTTCAAAAAGAACACAAAGAATGGCCTTCTCAGCTGCCATAGTTGCAACTCTTGCGTCATCAGAACGGTATTTAACGCACCACCGTTTCCATTTAAAAAAACGTTTTGCAACTTTTTGTCGAGGCAGGACGCAGCCCAGCTCACAGATCCACTCGTTGACGTGATTGGTTACAAGGTAGTCTGTGACCACCTCAGAAACACCAGCGATTTCAAACCGCGTTTTTGAGACGGTCTTTGGTTCACTGCAGTTTTAAGGAGAAAATACACAGCAATGCTGTCGACTTATGACTTTGCACATGGTTTGTCTTAAATCATATTAAAAACACCACATAGACATGCATACTGTATAAACAACATTAAAAACCTGATTTTCACCACAGGGGGACTTTAACAAAATATTTTGCTAAGTAACAAAACTAAAATGTCTCAAAAGGACATATGGTTATATAAACTGATGAGCCAAAACATCATGACCATTCACAGGTGAAGCGAATATCATTGATCATCATTGCAAATCTAGTGTGTCACATGACAAGCTTTGAATAAAGTGGGTGTGATAAGACAACTGTGAAACCCCTCTCATCCTTTGACTTCCTCTTTCCTGTTAGCTTCTGTACTCATACGTTGAGAACATAAAGCGCGTGTCCGCCGGTGTTTTGTGTGAACTCGCTCTGGATAAGCAGTCTGCTGAGATGATTGACGCAGAAGGAGCATCTGCACCTCTTATGGAGCTCCTGCACTCTCCCAACGAGGGGATTGGTGAGTGACGCCCATCGAGAGAAACTTTAATAGCACGCCTCATGACTAATTACATGTTGATAAAACACTGAAATGAGCCATATGTCATTGGACAGATCATAGTCTGTACAAACACAACATTACCACATTTGAAATTGTGCAAACCTTCCTCTTGATTTCACATCAGAGTCCCAGTGGAAGCAAGATGATACTGAATATCGGCAGTACTGAGAGATTCTGTTTACTGTACCTTACCAGCAGCTTTCATAAACTGCCATAAACAGTCTCTCCTGTATCTGCTTGACAATGACAGTCTGCAATAGACAGAGACCTGTCAAAGATGCAGCATGACTTTGGTGTCTTCAACACGTCAGATAAGGAGCAGAACACACAAGAGAAGCTTCAGCTTGCCACGTACTGTATCAAAGGGCTTTTAGTCTCACAAGGTGAAATTTTCACTTTTAGGAATAACTTTGGTTAGTATTGTAACTTTATCTGGCCAGGAACCATCCATTTACATATAAGAAGGTAATAATTATATACATAGAATATGTAATGCCGTTTTTTTATACATATTCCCTGGGATTGGTAAGATTTTTGTTTTTGAAAGAATTTTCTTATCCCCAGCGAGGCTGTATTTATTTGATCAAAAATACAGTAAAAACAGTAATATTGTGAAATATTATTACATTTTCAAATAACTGTTTTCTATTCAAATATATTTTAAAATGTAATTTATTCCTGTGACTTAAAGCTGAATTTGCTGGAAAAAAAGTCGCATTTTATTATTACATTTAGAAATATTGTAAAATACCAATGCACAGGGCCGTAGCTAGAGGATTCGGAGCCCCCTGAAAAAATATTGATGTGGGCCCCCACCACCCTCCACCAATATCATATACTGTACAATAGATGAACATGGAGGCCCACATAACAGAAGATGGTGATGTTGTTGTAAAACCTTTATTTTAAAAGTTAAATGTTTATATAAAAATTACAACTAATAAAAAAGCAAGAAATTGTTAAATAATAATAAAACCAATTTTTAAAAAGTAATAAAAAAAATTCCCCATCAGTCTGTTATAATTCATAAATCAAAAAGTAAACATTTAAAAAATTGACAAGAATGCAGTCTAATTCAAAAAATAAAACCATTCATTGTCTTATTTTTTAATAAAGATAATATGGAACTGGTAATATTATTAAATAAGCGAATACATTTATTCATCCAAGTGCAGTGTGTTTTATTCGTGTTTTCTCGATGTTTTAAATATCATCAGCCGGCAGGTCAGATGCATAATGCAATGCGTCTTGACTCGTGCAATTTTTTTAAAACTCTAGTTACAATACTTTAAAAAGACAGGAATTTAGACCACGTAATCATTCGGTCGATTTTGGTGCGCACCGATAATAAAAAAATGACTGTACACGGCAGACTGTAGACGGAAGTTTTCTAATTCCCAGCGAAATATAACCGGTCTTTAAGAACGTCTTGATCGACTGGGATACAACCACTCTCCTTGCCTCCCTCTCCGTCTTTTCCTGGCATTTCTGGTTCCCTGATTTGTTTTCTTTTCCCCGAAATTTTTCAGTCAGTTTCCTGACTCTCCTGCTCTTCCACCAACTTCATCGTTAACTTCAGGCTGCCGCCTCAACTCTGATTGGTTCTGTTCACGAGCTGGGGCGGGACTTACAATTTTATTGGGTCCATCTGATGTTTGTCACTGACTCTGACTGAATAATTAATACATACTTTAGGTCGGACTAAACCATTTTTATGGAGGTAAGAGAAGCAGATATTTAGAAAAATATTTACCCAAATTGCACGTTTTTGTGGTTTTCATTTAAATCTCAGGCATACAACTAATATAAATATTAGAATTATTCATACTACAGGGGCCTAAATAGTATAACTGCTGGATTTTGTGGGGCCCCCTGGGCAGCGGGGGCCCCTATAATTGTCACCACCTTTCACCCCACTAGCGACGGCCCTGCCAATGCATAACATAACTTATAATGGTGTTCATTTAAACAATATTTATTATGTAGCGACATTGAGATGTGCCTTAATTAGCTTAAATTATGCATAGGGAATTTTAATAATTAATCATGAATATGATTAATATATTGCATATTACAGTTAAATTATCGAAATTGAAAATAGATCGATTGTATATATGAATGATCAATCATAACGAATTATAATTCCTCATTCATATATCAATGGTCTCATTACAGATCGATTATATGGGATAACATTAAGGGAATCAATTGGCTACCAAACAATCGGTTTGTCCAGCAAACGGCTGTAAGATTAACCCATCAATTAATTCAACAACGTTATCCCTTTTTATAAACTCCAAGAAATCTCAATGTTCCGGCCGTGAACATTAATTTTCTCGTGTTTATAAAATTTACGTTACTGATATAGTAACAACTTGTAAAGCTTTGTAGCTAGGATCGCATTTCATTGACTTGTAAAAATATGAGCATTCAAAACAATCAAGAATATAATGGTTTTAATAAAATGAAACTACGGATACAGAATTCTACATTTACACACGGGATACATGTATGTACAGTAAACAGTAAAACTAATGAGACAGACGAACAACAAACAGGAGTGAGAGAGAGAGATTGCGAGAGCGCAAGATTGGGAGTGAGAGAGAGAGAGAGAGAGAGAGAGAGAGAGAGAGAGAGAGAGAGAGAGAGAGAGAGAGAGAGAGAGAGAGAGAGAGAGAGAGAGAGAGAGAGAGAGAGAGAGAGAGAGAGAGAGAGAAGATGAGAGATCTTCTTGGCACAATTCATCACAGACACAGAACCTTTTGAATTAGAACAAGACTCAACAGATCTTAAATAAGCATAGTAAAACGGATACTTGCACAGGTACAGCTCTTGGGTGTGACCGATCTGAAAACGGCGTGTGTGTGTATCTCTGTCAGGTGGATGCCGAGCGTTCGGGTTCGTCCAGCGAGCGCGGCGTGTTTGAATGTCCTTGTAGGTGAAGCTTGCCAGTCTGGCTGTGTTCATTTTCTTCGCGAGAAGACATGAACAGAGGAGCCTTCGAAAAAGATAAAATAAACTTGAAGAAAACAAAAAGAGAAACGATGGATCATCACACTAAGGCGATGTCCAGACGCACGAGGAGTCACATGATGAAGCCACAAAGAGCAGGAAGAGCCAGGGAGTTTTGGCAGAGGGTTTTCAGGAAGCTTTCAGAAGGGTTTTAGCAGCCGCTTAGGGAAGCTCGGCGCGTCTCTTTAAGGACACTTAGGTTCACGCCTCTGTTTGCGCGAATCACACATGACCGTCCGCGGATCTGAAGCGGACACAGTTCTCTTTGTCCTGTGGGGGATGCCCACTTCATGAGGAAATTGCATTTGAGCCGTTTGGCTCCTGAAATATGAAATGTGTAAAATAATGCACCTTACTTCATCATGCTATCGGAATTCGGCTCCGTTAGATTGAGCGAATTACAGACATATCAGACACGTCACATGAAGATTATCGGAATACAGAGTTACATAAGATATGCATTTTATAAGCATTTAATGTTCCTTCACATGATTATAAAGCCATAATACCGGCTTCCGTGACCTAGGAAATATCAAACTCATGTTTATGCATTTCTTAAGTGGTTATACTTATAGACAATATAAGATTGCAGAGGCTATTCCCCTTTCTTCATCAGAATTCAAGTGGGAGCTGTGATTTCCCTTGGAATTCCTTTTGGGAGTCATAAAGTTTTATGACCTAGCAAGAGGGAGAGTTATAGAATCTTTCTTTAGAAATAAACTTTAAGGTTCGAAGTTACAGAACAGTTAAAATTACATCTATAGAATAAGACAAGACTAATTAGATATGCATGCATATAGGAAGGTTGGATACAATTTCTGTGTTATACAGTATACATTTATATACACATTATAGGACATTTGTGTGTGTGTGTGTGCAATCAATGTGTGATTGTCCTTCAGCGTTCAGGCAGCTTTGTGGACTCTTTCTGTGGGGGGGATGCGTGTCCCGTGAGACGGCGAGGTTTGAATGGTTGACTATTTGTTGAAGACAACGCTGGCTTGTTCCAAATGTGTCATGTGCTAGCCATAGTGGCACCAATCTGGTCAACATGCCCGAAGGGGGTCGTATACAGAATGCCCCTTTGTTTACTCACGACTGGAAGAGACTTTAGTAAATTAGAATCTAGTTAATTTACTCCACATACCAGAGCTGGCTCGATTACCTATCTGATTATCACTACATTCCCCCTTTTGGCGGTTTGGCAGGACCCGTGTGGGCGGCCTCGTTAAACCGTCACATTGGTCAGATGGTAGGTAAGTCATGAAGGTAGGATGGCAGGTGGAACCTGATGGTAGGATAGCAGGTAAGTCATGAAGGTCGGATGACAGGTGGTTGTTAGTACTGAGGGCTCAGCCCGATGAGGTTCGGCGTGGTCTCTGACTTGGCACCCCCCATCTTTCCGGGGATTCTGTCTGAGACCTTCAGGCACGGCTTTCGTGAGCTTGGCTGAAGATGTTAGCATCTCGTTGAGTCTCCTTTGCAGAGCGGAGGCCAAACCTAGTGTCAGAGTGTGGCCGGTTACCGTAGAGATGCACCGCGCAGTGTCGGCTGCGGTCCAGGCTTGGACCACAGGTGCGGTAGTCACGACTGGCGGTCGAGACAGAGCTTGGAGGGCTGTGTCGATACGAGCAATGTCAATTCACTGGGACCCCCTTTTGCAAACCACAATTCCCGTTCTGGAGTTAGGGTGACAGTGTGGTTCCTGACGAAGGATGGGGTTTCCAGTTCTAATCTGTACTCTTTGCTTGGAAGATGGAACAATGTCAGGTCATCCAGGTGGAGGATGGCACCTTTCGGTACTTGAAACCACACGCTCTGTTTGAGCAAGGTGACACGGGTGGCAGTGTCATGTTGGTTGTAAGTGAGCGTAGCTGTTCGCACGGGAGTGTTGACGAGCCATCTGTCACCTACAGTCTCTGCTTGTATCTCGGTGACTTGCGTGCGAGGCTTG